ATCCAATGCGACGAAAAACTTTTTTTCAAACAGGTAATTATCTGAACTATATTCAGTTGGAAGTGCTTCAAGCATATAGTCTACAAGTATTTCGGGTGCTATTGCAGCTTCCAGATTTTGAACTTGAATCTCTTCCCTTTTTTGGTTACGTTTAATTTTTGCTGCCGAAGAAATTTTAGTTCTACACTCAAAACATGTTTTTTTTGACCCATTTGCGTTTGTGCCTTTATTTTTTGTACCTTTAAAGGCTTCAATTGGTTTTTTAACATAACAACGACAGCACTCTTCCATAACAATAATGCTTATTAACTAAAAAGGTAAATACGAAAGTATTTTTTTTACTGTATTACAATATTAATAATACAAATCGAAATCGTATGATAATTTGTATGATATAAGAATGATGTAAATCACATGATCTGTAACTTTTTTGGGTGGCGATTTAACCCCGGTTCACTCATTTCTAAATAACGCATAATTAATCCTCAAATACAAATAATACTTAATACATATAGACATATAATTTGCACAAACCCGAAAAATACGCAGAAGTAACAAAAAATTATACGTAAATAAAGGTTTATAAATAAGAATCTTTCGTGTAAATAAATTTAAACAAAGAAGTTTTCTTTTTTGAAACCTTTTATCAAAAATGATAAATACGGACATGCTTTCCGATACTAATAATTATTCTATATTTTCGAAAATTTATATTATGCTACTATAATAGAAACATTATATATTTTTGTCATAGTAATCCTTATTGATTTCAGAAATGTTAGTCTGTACAATTGTTTTACGTAGAACTAACGATAAGACAACATAGATCACTTTCATAATGGCTATTTTAGGTATAAAGCATGAGTAATACAACGGAAATTTGATTTATTGGTTGTTCAACAAACACCATCCCACGTGCTAATGCTTGTATTTAGTTTCTAGTCAATTCGGTATGTTGCGAAATTGAGAAAAAAACAAGAATTTTCATTTTCTGGTTTCATCTGATTATTTTTAAAAAACAAGAAACTGTTACAAAAAACAATATTTTTCATTTTTAATGAAATATAATTTACAATTATTTCAAAGATAAAATAAAATGCCAATTGTTTATATTAAAAATCTCTTGGCCATGTGAATACAAATACTAATATCAAGCTCTGTATTATTATATCGATTATACCTGAAATTTTTTATAAATATTTTTTCCTTTAATAATTCTTCATTATACTTCTACAAAATACATGTAATGGGGTTGCAGAGTTAACTTATTATGAAAATAAGTGGGAGTTTGAAAAATCCTATTGGTTTGAAATTTCGAAATCAGAAAATGAAAAAGGAGTTATCCGGGGATAAAATAAACACTTTTATAATACACTTTTTTTGATAATTTATATAATAGCTTATCATATTAATAAGCTTGTAAATAAAAATAAATAGGATTTATAGATCGCTGATTACAAAATTAATACGTCACTAATTTAATTCGAAATTAGAAACCTGAACCTTAGGTTTGAAATCCCCTAATGAATAGTGATGCAGAAGAATTATTTCCACGATTGCGCGAAATATTAACAAATTTAGTAATTCCACAGTTTATGCAAAAGTTGTATTTTTGATATCCTATAAATTCTTGCAACAAAAATGTAACTTCTGCCTAGATTGTAGAATTACTAAAATTGGTAGTGATCAATTCCATAACGTAGTGGAAATAAAAAACTTTTATAGAATTATTTCCATAATTGTGGAAATAATTCTCCTGCATTACTAGGAATGAGTGAGTTAATTAAGAACTGGTCCAGACTAGGTTTAAATTTATGGATTGGAGATTACTTAAACTAGATCAAATGATCAGTATTGTATATTTTATTCAATTATGAATTTTATATAATCCATCGCCAAGCAAGTTAATCTGTGTAAATATTTTTATTAAACAGAGATTACGACAAATATTTTCATTATATATAGCTATATTGGTTTAAAGAACAAGAGTAACACGACAGAAATTTAATTTATTGGTTTGTAAGACTGTACGACAAAAATCTTGCTAATGTTAATTAGTTTTTTTTGTTTTAAATTGCTATAAAAAAATAACTCATTCGGTACATTGCGGAGTCGAAAAACAAAAAACTTTTAAAGATAAAATACTGTTTCATTTCTGTTTCACATGATTATTTCAAAAGTAACATTAGAAAAGAAATGTATTTTTTTTTTTATTATTTTCAATGAACTCAGACTTTACAATTATTTCGAAGATAACATACAGTAAAATGATTGTTGTTTATATTAATTGTAACGAGCTTAGTCCTTAATAACCGGGTACTGCAGAAATATATATTGTATAAATTTGTATATACTGTATGTAATGTATATTGAAAAAATGTCATGCTTGTAAAATTTATCTATTATTAATTTACCCTTTTGATAATTAGGGCTAATATATTCTCTTTTTATATTATTACAAGGGTTGGTAATAAGAAAAGCCATCCTGGATTAAAGAATTTTTGCGAACCTTACTTATTATCTCAATTATTTACACACTTTTTATATACTGTAATCCACTTTGTACGTATTTGTTTGTCATTTTGTACAAATTTGAAAGTCATCTTGTACAAAATTTAAATGTCAATTTTGTACTGTACACAAAGTCGTTGATTGAGTTTATACCCAATAGAATATTGAGAATTAATATAAAACTGTTTCAGCTCAAAAATATAAAGGCATAGTGAAATAACTTTCGTCTTAAAAAAATAGTAATTTGGTCAGTAAACTTATCACTTTAAATAATATAAATTCGATACTTGATCTTTATCGAGCACCCTTTAGATTATTTTTGTAATTTTAAATTGACTAGGTTTCAAACTTGTAGCAAAGCTACATATCATTTGCTAATTGGTAAATAAGCACAGCAATATATAAGAAAGCGATTATTACAAAATGGTTCCAAAACTTCGTTTGCAATACAATGTTACAAAAGAATTCTCATTGAGATATACAATTCTTGCTATACTTTTTTTTATCTTTGTAGATATAATTGTTATATTTTTCGTAATTTTAACTAAAGGGAAGACTTTATCTTGTTCTCCTCAGTTTCGAAATGTATATGATTCAGGTATTTCTACACTTTTAATAGAATTGTGCAATAAAAAATTAACTAATATTTAAAGTTTCATTGCATTTCCTTACAGAAAGTTGTCAGCAGAAACTTTTTACAAGTGGTGAAACCTTCGCAACACAAACTTTTATATATTCGTTTTTGAACTCAACACAATATACCGGCGCACCTCTTTCAAATTGCAAAATCAATTTCTCAAAACTCTTTGTTCATGGTATCCCAACTTCGCTTCCAATCCAAGATTGGAGATATAATATTTCATGTTCTACATCTAACTTTTCAGTTGCCCTAAATATTGTTGAACCTGCATACACAGATGTTGGAGACAAAGTTAATGACCAGATCCGTGGATTATTTGGGGTTAATGGACTTCAAACGGCTACATGTGGTGGTGACTCCAATAATAACTCGTACCCTGTTAACTCCTACCAAATTCTTAATGGTGGCTATTATGTTTACTCAAATGCTCCATCGAATGGTATTTGCTACGCTTCAAATGATGATCCTTATTTTCGACCTTTGGATACCTTCCTTAACAATACTATACAATATGATCTCAATAATTTTGGTATAATTCCAACAATCTATCAATGTCAATCTTGTATACTTGTGTGGAATTCATTTAATGTTATTTTGCTAGAAATTCTTACTTCATCATTTGCGATTATGGGAGTCGTTTATACTATCACTTTAATTTTTCTTAAAAACTATTATTTATCTAAAATTTCCAAGTCAACCCAATAAAATTATAGAAATATTTATATGCATATATATATATCTAACTTTAACCTGAACTAAATATAAAGTGGCCCTAACCTTAAGGTTAATTCAATAAAATATATGAATTAACCTTAAGGTTAATTCAATAAAATATATGAATCACTCTTGCTTTAGATATCAGATAATAGAAAAAAAAAAATTAGATATTATAAAAAAATTTAAACCTCACTATAATCACGCTTTAATACAGAAAGTGTGATTGTAAAGAAATGTAACAATTACAGATATCAAATTTATTATATTTAGTAGCAGTTTGTTATAAAGAAAATATGCTTATGTGGAAATGACTATAAAAAGGTTTAATTGTTTATTTTAATTTTTTTATTGTAATTGTAAAAAATAAACTATTACTTATATTTAATAAATAGGATTTAGGCTTTGTATTGATAATTGTACGTACAGTTAGAAAAATATATTAATTATTTTAAAAATTATATCTAAGTTCTCTAGTTTAATATAATTATCTTTTGAAACAATTTCAATACTACGTAATCTTTTATTTAGATACTATATATTTTTTAAAAAAATGAATAGCCCGTAAGTAATTTTATTCTGTTATTCAATATACTAATTTCTAAAAAGAATTTCGATTAATCTTTCATTTATATCTATTTATTTATCTAAAATATAAATAGCTTGTAAGTATTATTTTTTGTATTCAATATAATTATATTTAGAAATTATTTTAATGCTATTCTTTTTTTATTCATTTACTATCTAAAATGACAATAGCCTGTAAGTAATTTCTCTGAATTCAATATAACTATTTCTTGAAACAATTATAATGCCAATTTTTTATTTATATACTTTTTTTATCTAAATAAAATATAGCTCGTAAGTAATTTTCTATAATCTGATATAATTTTTTTGAAACATCTTCAATATTAATTTTTATTTGTTTAAAACAATAAATAGTGGGTGAGTATTTATTTAAAATTTTTTAATTTAATACACTGTTTATCCACTCATTTATCCAATAATTATTATCTTTTAAAATTAATTCTATACTAAACTTTATTTTTATTTTAAAATAATAAATAGTAAGTACATTATTCTGCTATTCAATATAATTATCTTTTGAAATAATTTTTAATACTAATTATTTATATAAATACTTATTTTTTAAAAATAATAAATAACGTAAGTTATTTTATTCTGTTATCTAACATAATATAATTATCTTTTAAAAAAAATTTTAATACTAATCATTTATTTATTTACTAGTTTGTTCAAAACATTAAATAGTTGGTATGTATTTATTACAATATATTTTCTGTTATTGTCTTAAAAACATTTTAATTATAACTTTATTTATAAAATATTAGCTAATAGGTATGTGTTGTACTTCATTATTAATACTACTTTTTTTAATAAAAATTTTATTTATTTATTTATTTATTATTTTATTATGCCAATAGTAAAATACAAAGCTAATTGAAAAATATTACATGAATATTAGTGGCTAAGCTACGATAAATTATTTTCTATATCCCATAAATAGGGTGACACACACCTCCGAATTCTCTATTTATAAATTAAATTAGCCTACTTTTAGATTTAGAAAGGGGTAGGAAAGACCCTTAGTATTTATTTATTTTATATACGTACACAGTATGTAATTAACTAAAGAAGTTTTATTCAATTTTATATTATTATAAAGTTTTAAAATTTTAATTTAATTTATATGCACTAGCTAACAAATTAATTTTTACAGTATATAATTGATTAAAGAAATTTTATTATAAAATTTTAATTTAAAATTAATTTTATATTTACGATCTAATAAATTAATTTTTATACTCATAATCCAATATAGTCAAACCTCTCTATAAACATAATTTTTTATAATTAGCACATTCTCTATAATCACGCTTTTTTGTATCCCAAGAGTGTGGCTATAGAGAGGTTTGACTGTAATAATATATAGAAATAAATGTGAACTCCCAATACTTTTTTTATTTTTTTTATACTCATTATATCGTTATATTATCAGTTTATCATTTAATCTAACGATAAACCTTCTTAATGTTGCTTTTGCCTAATTAGTCATGTAAGCTTATCTGCAAGTTAATATAGTCAGACTTCTTTAAATGCAACCTCTTATAGTGACTAAACGTATCTCAACTCGAAATACATAATTAAGTACTAAATCATGTGAATAATATCAAATTATTTGTATTATTCAAATCACAGATTTAAATTTTTAATCTATAAAAGGGTACTAGACTCTAACAATTTTGGACTCGCAAACATTTGCCACACTAACGTAAATTGAAGGTGTCACCTATACTATAAGTGACCCTGTTTTATTTGTATTGTAAATGGGAATGGAATTTAAGTGGATCTGAATTTCCTAATTAAATTAGAGTTAAGGTATGGGTGTACATATGATAATATCGATCCCAAAATGAGAGTTTTATATAAAAATTTCGAATCCACTTAAATTCAGTTTCCATTTATAACATTTATAATCGGTATATAAAAGATAAATATTTTTACCCGACAAACTCTTATGATCATGAAAAAGTTTCTTTCTGTTATTTTTTTTCATGTGTTACGATGTAATTATGTTTTTCCAATATTCAAAAAAAAACAAGCTCAGCGAGTGACTCCCTACCAATCATGATCATAAATTATCGGATAACACCATTATTGGCAAATTGCCGTTATTCCCAAATTTTTGCCCAATAATGTATACTTATATTACATGTATAATATCATACTTGTGCTACAGATAACTTTATCATTACAACGTCGACACATTCGATTCGTTTGAATACTTGCCCAGCATGTTTGATTTGTTTAGTTTGTGCACAAGTTTATGAAAAAGGTTGTTCTTGTCAACCAATATAAATATATAAAAAACCTCCGGATATAAAAAATAAGCTTTTTATTGTCTGAAGCGTAGCGAGGACTTACTATGGAGATGTAAATAACACAAAATGTCTTGGGTTCCACTCACGTGACACATACAATATAACCGACCGTAAAAATAAAAGCATTCTGTTTCCATTGATATTATGTATTAGCTTCGGACCTAAAAGCACCTATTTTACTAGTAATAAATATATTACATGAATAAGCAGTGTTGGCAATTTGACAAATTTATTGGATTAAATGTCATAAAAATGTGTCATTTTTGTCATAAAAAAATGTTATTGATATAATTTTATTATGATTTTATAAAATTTACGTGTCATTTATTTGCCATAAAAAAGTCATATTTGTCATTTTGTCAACACTGTGAATAAGTGCCAATGTTAAAAAATTTAAGAATTTGTCGATTGGTTTAAATGTAGTTCAGGATTCCAAAAAATCATTATTAGTATTTAAAAGTGACGGAATTTTACGATTTATAGAAGATCTAACACCTAGTTGTTTGGCTACCTTTTCGAACTAATAAACCTTTTAAATTTTTGCCAGCGAAGATGCTTTGAAAGTCATGTCGTTATAATGTTTAAATTAGTTACTCGATTTTAAAAATTATATAAAATTTTATTGAATCTAGTATTACCAAATTCATTAACTGGATCGGCCACAAGTTTTTTTATCAGGTGTTCCAAGAATTTTGAAATCAGAAGTAATTGAAATGCATGCCTAAATTTGGTTAATTCATATTACGTAAGTAGATGTAGTTTCTGCTTAGTACTATCCCAATTTTAATCGAGAAAAATGCAGCATTTATTGTCACAGTCAATGTTGTGCATGGTGTAATAATTGAAGATGCCTAATTGAGAAGAAGCATTATCAGTGCATAAAAGAAAGGAGATAAAATAAACTTAGATAAAGTAGAAGAATACTTATTTTCATGTGTTGGATTGTGATCATGCTAAGAGTAATTAATGTAATGATAAATGCAAACTTAGCAAGTGCGTTAAAAAAAAAATTAGTCATTAAATGATTAGCTTAGCGCAATACTGCTTTAAATTTAATGTTTATTAATTAGTCTGTGCGGTAAAAAGAATGTAAAGTAAAAATAACAATGTTGTAATATATTTACAAAAAAAAAATAATTTATTTCTAATAAATTGTTGAAAATTTTATATATTTTACAAGTACAAATGTGATTTTTCCTCCTACTCCTCTGCACTGTACTGCTCTATTCTTCACAATAGACTAAACAACGCTTTCAAGTTTGTGAGACAATAAATTCTTTTTTTAGAGCTAATTTAAGCGGTGTTATTGTTATGCCCAAATTTTTATTTTTAGTTAGTGTCATATTATTATACACGTCACTCTGGTTATACCGATATCTGGATATAACGACATCATAGTAAAATCTTTCTATACCGACGTGTATCATCATTTTTATGTACTTCTTATTTTGGTATAGTTTGTCCCATAATTGGGTGATAAAAAGACTGAACGAGGGATTAAAACCCCATACGAGTTAAAGATATAAGGATGTAGTTTCAGTATATGAAGGGAATAACGGTTGTAATAGCTGTTGTTAGAATGATTATTAACGATTGTTGATAGTATTTAGTATTATTGATGTATTGATTTATGTTAATAAAGAGAAGCCTTAACCTGTAATTATGTGTGTTAGTTTATCGATTTAAACCATTTAACCTTAACCATTATTTGTTCACGATCGAAGCTAAATTGGTCCAAGATCTCGTAACAGCGGTACGTGCAAATTTAGTAAAACCTCATTTCACAAACTTGAGACCAGCGGTGCAAAACCACAAAAAAAAAAATCCTAAATCATAAAATCAATAAAGTGTCGATAATTTAAGAAATGAGAAAATTTTAATGTGCTACGTATAATCAAGTTAACATTAAAATTACGTAAATTATCGACTTCAATAAATTTAAGGAAGGCATTAAATTCACTATATTTTGACTAGAGATGTGCGGTATGCATTATGCAGGCAATGTTCCAAATCTGTTTTCACTATATAAATCTAATATTTTATATTTTCAAATCCAATAACCTCTCAGTAATAATACAAAGTCTGTTTACTGCATATAGTTTTTGAGGGGGCCATAGTATATTATACAGAATTGCATAATGCATACGACATAATGCTGTATTATGTGATGCAAAGCCAAAAAAACTTGCATTCGCACATCTCTAATTTTGACTCTATAAGGAGTAATTTTGCTTTTTAGTTTTCTTGAACCATACGTACATATGTACTTTGCAATTTATTTGTTATCGTATCGATTATTGAGGAAACCTTTTTATTGTATTCTTTTATTGTCAATTTTTCGTTTGATGCTTTCAGGTGTATTGAAATGATAAATATGGGAAATATAGATCCAATGGTGAAGAGTCAGACAAAGACACGACAAATAAAATAGGAAAAACGTAGATACTAACGTAAAAACACAACTTGTATAATTTTTGAAATTGTTCTTGATATTAAAGTATAATTAAATTTGGGTTAATAATTATTATACATATAACGTATTAATTTCGTGATTTATACCACCATAACGATAGTATATGCTAAATCGGGTATCTCGCGAGAAAGTTCAAGTAACAAACAAACAAACATGTTTATTTTCTAAAACAATAATTTAACCGTCACCAATTATAAGCGATTTGGAAATATAATGCTGTAATGATATGCGCAAAATGTATAACGAACGAATAAATAAAAGTTTGATATATGTTGTGCAAAAATTACATTTTTTTTTCGAATTTACATTAATCCATATTATAGTAAATAAAATTTTTACACTGGGTTTCTTTATTCTCTGTAAACGTTAGGGTAATCCAATACCGTACTTTATAATCCAATATCATACTTTAATTATTCGATGGCTCAAGACGAAAATCAACGTCAAGTGCCTTCTGAATATAAAAAAGATATATCCATTTTAACTTTTGTAGAAGTAGAAGAATGTAGAAAGTCACTACCAGAGAAAACCTTTACAGAGGCTATATCTACGGATGATGTTAAAAATAACATACCGAATTATAAAATGAGCAAAACTAAAGTCTTACTAGTCTTTATTAGGTACAATATTTATTACAATTATTTCTGATCAGCCTTTAAAATAGTTAAAATTAAATTATTAATATAAATTATTTGAATGCAAAGTCTTTCATTTTCTATATTTTTAGTATTTTTAGATCAAACTATAGTTACCACAGCTTTGCCAGCCATAGCAATAGAATTTGAATCTCTTGATGATGTCTCATGGATTGGAACTGCCTATTTACTTACTACGGTATGTCTGTGCAGATGTAGTTTCACCTTTATAACTTTTAAACTTTTGTCACGTGATAGGATCTTATGTGTGAGTTAATTTGTTAATACCATTATTGTTTTTACTGAAATATATATTTCTATTAGGCCGCTTTTCAGCCCGTATATGGCAAGCTTTCAGATATATTTGGTCGAGTGAGTTTTTGATTTTCACTTTTTAGCTTTATTATTAATGTCATTGATCTTTTAAAAGAATTTTATTCCCGATTTTAATACAGAAACCTGTATTTCTTATGGCGATATTTTTATTAGAACTTGGTACTCTTTTATGCGGTCTATCCATTAATATGGTATATAATAAATTATTAGTAATTTTTCAAAATTATTATTATTATTGCATTCTAATTTAACAATGGTTTTTTATAGTGCATGCTAATAATATCGCGTGCTGTTGCAGGTCTAGGGTGATTCTTTGACTTCAATTTAAATTTTATCTAATACAGAGACCTCTCTCAAATTCTGGGCTAAAAATATATTTTCTTGATTGTTCTCTAAGTGCAGATGATAGAATTTGATCACAGAGGTGCATTTAGAGAGGTCTCTGTAATTCGTATTTTTATGGCTCATATTATTAAACCAAGTTTTAACTTTAGCGGAGGTGGTCTTTATGGGTAAGTTTTTTTTCTCTTTGAATTTAAAAATATTAATTAATTAATCTTATTTTATTGATATCAAATACTCTAATCTTGTTGCATTCTTCAGACTTGTAATGATTATTATTACGGAAATAGTTCCCATGCAGGAATGTGGAAAATATCAAGGAATGATTGGTAGCATTTTTGGTATAGCATCTGTTATGGGTCCATTATTAGGTGGTGCTTTTACGGATAAGGTCTCCTGGAGGTTTGTGCTTATATAAAACTTATTTAAATAAATATAAATTTACAGTATTGTTTATAATTATTATTGTTTGTAGATGGGCATTCTTTATAAATCTTCCTTTAGGCGTTATTACATTTATCTCTATTGTCTTTCTATTGCACCTTCCAAAATCATCCAACTCTTTTTGGAAAAAACTTATGCTCATTGATTGGTGGGGCACTTTCACTTTAGTTGTTTCAACTATACTTTTATTACTATCACTTAATTGGGGTGGTTCAAAATATAGTATGTTTTGTTTTATATTAATTTAAACATACTTGACCTTATTGACTAACCATTAATTACACCTACAACCATACTCTTGACTGCGCATTTAATCTTTAAATTTAGAATGGAACAGTCCTATTATTATAGGTTTATTATGTTTTGGTGGCATTGGATATGTCTTATTCGTTTTTATTGAAGGAAAGATTGCTAAAGATCCTATTGCACCTGGTAAACTTTTTTATCTTGTCAACATTATTATCATTATTATTATTAACATTCTGGTATGTGTAATTTTATTAGGTCGTTTGTTCAAAAATCTTAAAATAGTTGCCTGCTTTAGTATAAATCTCTTTCATGGAATGGCATTTATTGCTTTATTGTATTTTATACCGCTTTATTTTCAAGTTGTAAAATCTGAATCAGGTATGTATATATCCAATCATCCCTAACATTTTTATTATATTATAAATACTGAATTAAATAATTAAATTATTAAAAATCCTATAGCTACGACTTCAGGTTTAGAACTTCTTCCTTATGTTTTAGGTTTGGTCTTTGCTCCTATGTTTGTTGGCCAACTAGTTTCAAGAACTACTTATTTTTCTTATGGTTTAATTTGTGCTTTTGGAAGTATTTTAATGGCCATAGGGACTGGATTAGTTAGCATGTTTTCTGAATATACTGATAAAGATCTAATAATGTGTTACTTATTCATTGCTGGTATTGGTGCTGGTTTAATCACAGAAACTACTGTATTTGCCGGACAAGAAATAGTGGAACATAAAGATATTGCTAGCGTTATTTCATTATTGGCATTTTTCAGAACAAGTATGTAAAAAGTTTATGTGTATACCATTTTTTTTCTTATAATCATTAAGCTTCAGGCTTTTAGATAACTTATGCGTTATTAATTTCTCTTTTTTCTTAAAAGTCGGTGCAGTGTTTGGTGTAGCTATCTTAGGAACTGTCTTTAACAATGTGTTTTATTCGAATATGCCATCTCAATTTCAAGGAAAATTGTCTCTAAATGATATCAGCATATTAGAGAAAGTCCCTGATATTGTAATTCAGAATTTTATATTAGCTATGGATACTGCAATTAAAGTTATAGTTGTCATGTCTGCATTGAGTTTTATCTCTTCTTTACTTATCGGAAACGTTAAACCATACAGAGATGATAATATAAAAATTACAAATTCTTCATCTCTGGAATAGCTGTTAATAGAATATCAAAATTATAATAATTAAAATAATATTAGAATTTTAAATTTTTAATTGTAAAAATTTTAGAATTGAATTTAAATTATATATCTATGAATGTTTTTTTTTATTAATAGTACATTCAAATATTATAAACAACTGTCTGATAATGATTAATATTATTGGTTCGGGTTCTGAAGGATTGGCTACATCACTACAAATATCTTATAATTATTTATTTAAAGAATAACTTTAGTTTGCAAAATTAATCCATAATATAATTGTGTATTAATATAGATGAAAAAAGAATTAATATTTCTAAATGCTGAAACATTATGTCAGTAGTCATAATAGAACAAAATGTAATTTTATATTGTTATTTTACAATGTAAATTCAAATTGTGGGAGACACGAAAATAATTGATAATAATATCATTTGTAATCGAACTTGGTCAATTGACTTTTATTGTATAGAATCTTTTACACATTGACGTTATAAATAAATATATCTCAAAATGGATACATTTACATATACACTTTATTTATAAAATAAATGTTTTCTAATAATATATTGCATAACTTTTTTTATATATCTACATATTTTGTACAAAGTTAATAGTTTTTTCGACAGATGCAAGTTTTAAGTTGCAATTTATTTTTTTGAAAAATGACAACAAAATTAAATTGACCTTTTTTGTGTCGTCTTTTTATGGGTAGAAAAAAGTTTCATTTCGCTCAAAAATTGGATTGTTTATCGTGCTTTTCAGCAAGTGGATATGTTTTTTTTACAGCATTTGCCAAATTTTTTGGAAGCATGAACATGATTTACAGCTGTTTTCATAGTTTTAGGGCAACTTGTGAAAAACTAACCGTGGCTGATACGATAAGTTTTCGATAAACTTTTGATTTGGGCTATATGTAGTCAACTCTCCCTAAGTGTGACCGAACTTTTAGCAATACAGTATGCATTTAGGGAACAATTGCATTTATAGAGATCAAACATAAAATTGGCTCGAAGTTAAAATTGTATTTAAAGAGAAGTTGCACTTAGAAAGGTTGCGACTAGAAAGAGTTGACTGCATAACGATGTATATTTTTAATACATAAAGATATATTCTGAGCAATATTACAATGTCAACACATTTAAATTAGGTTTCGCTTGAATCTATGCGCAGTGTGTTTGGTGTGTTTCGCCTGTATGAAATTTATAGCAAAGATTGTTCTTGCTAACCAACAGATCTTAAACACGAAATATAATTAAGGTAGTCAATATATGCAGAATGATAAAATAATAAACCACAGGACTTAATAATAATAATAATGACATAAGTTGTATCCTGTTAAGTGAAATATTCAAAGTCAAGATTCTTCAGTTTTCTAGTTTATACAGCTATTACAACGCTTTTATCATAACTGCTAATCTTTTGATTTAACAATGTGTTGCCAAGTTTTTATTTTTCTAATCCAAATAATATAATATAATTTTAGCTATATCTTACTTTATATACATTACAGCTTTTTATTGATTCTTATTTATAACAAGTTTACTAAAATACAACTATGGTGCTGCTGAACACCATAAGTGCTATTTCTCAAAAACGTACTAAGTAAATGGGATCAGGTATTCTAAGTAAATATATTCCGGACACCTGAAAACCTCACAAGAACTGAAATCAGGGCCTTATATCTAATCTACATTATATTGTATAAACCTCATCCTTTATCCTAACCATAAATTTTATTAATAAAAATTATATATGGCGTTCAACACTATAAATGTATTTTATAATTTTTTATCACAATATTAAAAGATATAATTTAATGATATATAAGTATTGGCTAGCAGTTTAATATAATTTTCTGCCTAATAGCCTTATTATTTGGTTGAGATAATAGTTTAAATTGGTTTTAACTATCATTTCTGCCCAATAATTTTACTATTTGACAGGAAATCATAAAACTTATTATTAAGTAGTGCCTGTCCAGTAACTTATTAATATTACAATAGCTTATCTTTATTAAAATATAATTATATTTTTATTTAATATTCTGTTCCTGGTTTAGTGCAATGATGTTACACAGCTATTTAGTTTAGTATTTTTTAATTTATTTATTAATTCCAAATAATATAGTAGCTGATTTATTAATTGCCAAATTTTTTAATTTTGACCAGTAATATTTACTATTTCATTTTATTTTATACATTTTAATCTGACATGGATATAAAAAATATTAATTATTCAAGATGAGATATTTACAAACGTTTACTATTAATTTTAATTTATCTTTACTTCATGATAATAAAAGAACACTTAATAAAATATTCATCGAATATTTTAAATGACTATTTGATTTTTTTTACTATTTAATTTCTTTTATATGGGGTCTTTGCTTTGAAAATGACCTTACGATATCATGTACCGTAAGGTCATTTTCAAGACAAAGACTCCATATTGCAAGTATAAGAAAATATTTGTTAAGCTGAATATTAAAACAACTATTCAAGTTATATCTGATATTTATATTATTTGTATTAGTATATATGTTATATTATTAAAAAGAACATTTATTAAATAAATCTGAAATATAGAGTAATCCCAAGTTTATTTTGTAAAAATATATTTCACCAAATGTTCATTTCACAGAAAAGCTTTTTTATAAATTAAAATAATTTTAATTTAATTCTAAACTTAACTATTGAGAATTAAATTATCTGTAAACCATTGTCTATAAATCAATTATCTGTAAACCAAGTTGTCTGTGAAGTAATTATTAGTGAATTAATCAAAACTAAATTTATCTATTACCTATACTAAATATAAATAATATAAACTCGATTACTATTTATTTATTAATATAACTATGCATCCTATAATCAACTCCTCTAGTAATATCTTTACCCTTGTTATGCATAGTAAATTATTTGTTCTAAACAAATCTTATTGTATTTTTAGTGATATGATTGCCTAAAATAAATGTAGATATTTTACATATCTTATGAGCAAATTAACAAATGAAAGCGTTATAGTATTTGAATTCTCTTTCTCTCTCTATTACAACATGAATTAAAGTGATTCAATAACACTTTTAAATTAGATTTATTTTTAAGAATTCACATAGGAAAGTATAAACAACAAATAGTTTATAGACTATAATAGATTTTTAATAATAACAATTTACGGTTTAAGTATGATTTTACGAAAACTATGCTTTATTTTATGTATTTTGATTTATTGTTCTAGTTTAAGGTTTGGATTATTTATCGTTAATTTAAAGGAAAAATTATTTCTGGTAAGATTCAAATATTTCAGCGTAGTGTTTTTGCAAAGTGCATCACCTAATGATTTTCCCCCTTCTGATCCAATTTTATTACAAGAAAGATTCAAAGAAGTCAAAGTGGTGTTCTTATAAAGTGCATTTGCTAATGCCTTTCCTTCTTCTGATCCAAATTCGTTATAACTAAGGTGCAAATCTTTCAACGTGGTGTTGTTGCAAAGTGCATTTTCGAATGCTTTCCCTACAGACTGCTTAGACCGTTTAAAAGAACTTCTTATAAAGTTGACAGATCCGGGGTTATCATAACGTATATTCAAAGAAGCCAGTATGGTGTTCTTAAAAAATTCATTTTCTAATGCTTTTCCTTCTTCTGATGCATTTCTTTCTTCTGATGTTTTCCCTACAGGCCGCTTAGACCGCCTAAACCGCCTAGACCTCCTAGACCGCTTAAACCGTTTAGACGGTTTGTAAGAACTTGTTATTTGGTTGACGGATCCAGGGTTATCATTGATGGATCCAAGATTATTATTACGTAAATTCAAAGAAATCAAAGTAGTGTTCTTACAAAGCGCATTTGCTAATGCTTTTCCTCCTTCTAGTCCAAGATTATTTGAACATAGATTCAAAGAAATCAGTGTGGTATTCTTGCAAAGTGCATCAGCTAATGCTTTTCCTCCTTCTGATCCAAGTTCATTATATCGAAGATTCAAAGAAGTTAGCGTGAGGTTCTTACAAAGTGCAACTGCCATTGCTTTTCCTCCTTCTGGTCCAATATTATTATATTGAAGATCCAAAAAAGTAAGAGAAGTATTCTTACAAAGTGCATCCGCTAACGCTTTTCCTACTTCTGATCCAAAATAATTATAGCATAAATTCAAGGAAGTCAAGGTGGTGTTCTTGCAAAGTGCAACTGCTAGCGCTTTTCCTCCTTCGGATCCAAGATCATTACCATCGAGATTTAACGTTGTTAAGGAGGAGTTCTTGCAAAGTGCATCAGCTAATGCTTTTCCTCCTTCTGATCCAAGTTTATTACTGGCGAGATTCAAAGAAGTCAGGGAGGTATTCATGCAAACTGCAGATGCTAATGCTTTTCCTCCTTCTGATCCAAGTTCATTATCATAAAGATCCAAAGAGGTAAGTGTGGTGATCTTGCAAAGAGCATCAGCTAATACTTTTCCCTCTTCTGATCCAAGTCCATTCGAACTAAGATTCAAATAAGTCAACGCGGTATTCTTGCAAAGTGGATCTACTAATGCTTTACCTCTTTCAAGGTTATCGCCTCGAACATATAAACTTTTTAATGTGAAGTTATTGCAAAGTGGACCTACCAACGCTACATTTATTTCAAGGTTATTGTCTCTAAGATATAAATTTTTTAGCGTGATGTTCTTGTTAAGTGCTTCTAATAGTGCATAACCTCTAATATTATTGTCTCGAAGATCTAAATTTTTTAGTGTGGTATTCTTGCAAAGTGCATTTACTATTGCGTATCCTCCATATAATCTAAGATTATTAGATCGAAGATTCAAATAAGTCAGCGAGGTATTATAACAAAGTGCATCTGCTAACGCTTTTCCACCTTTAAATCCAATATTATTGCCAATGAGACATAAAAAAGTTAATTTGGTATTCTTGCAAAGTGCGTCAGCTAATTCTTTTACTCCTTCTGATCCAAGATTATTATATCGAAGATTCAAAGAAGTTAGCGTGGCGTTCTTACAAAGTGCAATTGCCAATGCTTTTCCTCCTTCTGATCCAATATTATTATATTGAAGATCCAAATAATTAAGAGAAGTATTCTTGCAAAGTGCATCCGCTAACGCTTTTCCTACTTCTGATCCAAAATAATTATAGCATAAATTCAAGGAAGTCAAGGTGGTGTTCTTGCAAAGTGCAACTGCTAGCGCTTTTCCTCCTTCGGATCCAAGATCATTACCATCGAGATTTAACGTTGTTAAGGAGGAGTTCTTGCAAAGTGCATCAGCTAATGCTTTTCCTCCTTCTGATCCAAGTTTATTGCTAGTGAGATTCAAAGAAGTCAGGGAGGTATTCATGCAAAGTGTAGATGCTAATGTTTTTCCTCCTTCTGATCCAAGTTTATTATCATAAAGATCTAAAGAAGTAAGCGTAGTGATTTTGTAAAGTGCATTAGCTAATACTTTTCCCTCTTCTGATCCAATCCCATTCGAACTAAGATTCAAATAAGTCAACGCGGTGTTCTTGCAAAGTGGATTTACTAATGCTTTACCTCTTCCAAGGTTATTGTCTCGAATAAATAAATTTTTTAGTGTGATATTTTTGCAAACTTCTTCTAATAATGCGTATCCACTAAGATTATTGTCTCGAAGATCTAAATTTTTTAGTGTGGTATTCTTGCAAAGTGCATCTACTATTGCGTATCCTCCGTTTAATCCAAGATTATTAAATCGAAGATTCAAAGAAGTCAGCGAGCTGTTATAACGAAATGCATCTGCTAGTGCTATTCCTACTTCTGGTCCAAGATAATTAGAACCGACGTTCAAAGAAGTCAACGAGGTGTTTGTGCAAAGTGCAAATGCTAATGCTTTTCCTCCTTCTGACCTGAGATTATTATCTCGAAGATTCAATGAAGTCAGCGTGATGTTCTTGCAAAGTGCATCTGCTAGTGCTATTCCACCTTCTGATCCAAGATTATTATTTCGAAGATTCAAAGAAGTCAACAAGGTATTCGTACAAAGTGTAAATGCTAATGCCTTTCCTCCTTCAGATCCAAGATCATTATTTTGAAGATCCAATGAAATCATTGTGGTATTCTTGCAAAGTGTATCTGCTAGTGCCATTCCTACTTCTGAAGCAAGATTATTCTCACGAAGATTCAAAGAAGTTAACGAGGAGTTCGTGCAAAGTGCAAGTGCTAACGCTCTTCCTCCTTCTGATCCAATATTATTTTTACTAATATCCAGAGAAGTCAATGTGGTGTTTTTGCAAAGTGCTTTAGCTAATGCTTTTCCTCCTTCTGATCCAAGATTATTTGAACAAAGATTCAAATTTTTCAAAGTTTTGTTCTTGCAAAGAAACTTTGCTAACATTTTTCCCCCCTCAGTACTTATCTGATTATTATAAAGATTTAAAGAATTTATGACAACATTTTTATAAAGAGCATTTAATAATATTTTCACTTCATCAGATCCAAGTGGATTAAATTCAAGATTCAAGGAAGTCAAAGTATAACTCTTATAAAGGATATTTACTAATACATACATTGCCTTAGATTTAATATCATCACTGATATTATATAAATTTATAGAGGTAATAGTAGTGTTCTCATAAAGATTTTCAAATAATAACTGATTACAAATAAGTTCATTAAGACTTAAATATTTAAGGTTCTTACTAACTCGTAGAAGCATTGTGATCAAAGAACAATTAATTACATTTTCAAGCTCATGTTCTGTTTTATTAGGAAGCCAATTTCTAACTCCATCATACAAATCATTACTAACGGATGTGATATAACTTGTATATTCAAATAGTGGTTTTGGGTGATTTGGAAGGGTAATTTTAAAAGGAATTAATCGAGACTGCTCTTCTGCATTTAATGTTAAAAGAAATATTCTTATAAGTCTTTTATCTTTAAAATGGTGTTTCGGTTCACTCCACAATATTGGTATGATAATTCTACACCATTGACGGTTTACAAGTGCACATAAATATAAGCTCTTATAATTATGCCGGAGGTTATTAAATATCGTATAGTAACATTCACTCGGTATTGTTAACATATTGAAAATTGCTTAAAAGTTGCGATATGTATGTACGTATGTACGAACGTTGGATTTATATCTCCGGCATGTAGCATAAAAATTGTGAAACATCACCCAAATTTGGAATACCTGTTTACTGTGGTACGTACATACGTCGGTCGATTTTAACTTCCTCCGGAACTGTTTATTTTGAAAATTTATTAAGATAGAAGAATTTCGAAAGTTAAAAAATTTTTCTAAATTGAAATTGTAATTTTGTTTTAACGTATGTAGAAATAAATACTATTTACCCTCATTAAAGAAACAATACAGCTGAGTGAAAACACGTTGTGCTTAGAATTAATATTTTAGAATAGTATTTGTTTTAATTGTGGCTTGTGCTACCTTACCCAATCAGACCTGCCTTTTACAATAACCATATGGGGTGATTCAGTAGAAACGCACCATGTTTTTTTTAATGAAATTTTTTTGAATCTTCAAACAAAAATAAATCAGCAAAAACTTAACCAAATTTAGTAAAAATTTTTTTAAATAAATTTTACAAGTTTTTTGAATTGGTTTAAAAAAAAATTTATTAAATGTAATTAAGTTGCTGTTGAATTATTCTTGTTTAAAGTTTCAAAATAAATTACTTAGAAAAAATATGGTGCGTTTCTACTGACTCACCCCCATATGCTGAGAGAAAGACTGGGTCAGAAAGAGCCTAGATGAGTAGCTATACTTGCATAAAATTGACAAGGAGCAAGAAACCATAATATTGACCTGTAATAAAAACTTAAGCTATTATGAAGAATTGATTACAGAGTACAATTAGAAACCTTTAAGCCCAGAGAGAAATTGGTATTCATAAAAGATGCATAATTTGAACCAGGTACCAAAAATCATAAATAATGATGTCTGACGAAATAGTTTCATCTAGACAGATGATGAAACCGTTTCGTCTGGCAGCTTCAATTAGACAATGAAACCCGTAATGGATGACGAAACCCATGACAAATGACGAAACTCATGATGAATGATGAAACTCGTGGCAAACCTCTGCGAATATATGTGAAAAAAATAAATAAAAATAAAATGTGCAATTTTACTTTGGAATTTTTAAAAGCTGGTTAGTTGATAGTAAAATTTTGTTATTACAATTTCTTTGTTTTTATTATTAAAGTTGTTTATGTTATACAAAATTCAAAGATCCTGCAGTTTTATTGGTTCTGAACCTAAATTTTATAGCGGATGTCTAAAGCGGAGTAGATTCTTATAATATAATATATATTTTATCAAATTAACTTTAGAGTTATGGTTATCTTGAATGAGGTTTTAGATATTTAAATATAAGCAAATTGCCCTCCTGACATTTTTACTTAACTTACCCAAAGTAGGTTTAAACTGCTATTTTTTGTATTTTCAAGTTTTTTTGCTAGTTTTGTTTCATTGGCAATTATCAATATTCTATAATTTGATTGGTTAAATATTATGTGATTCTGCTCCACTTTAGATGACACCATTTTATAGATCATTTGATTTACATAAGACATAAGGGCAACCTGATATTCGATACTGATTACCCTGATTATGTGACATTATGAACTGAACATAATGCCAGATGACGTTTAATTTTGGCTGGAATTTACAACTATAATGCTGGCCGTTTTATATAATCCTGGTCAGATCACAGAATTATCATTTTGCATAAACAGAATTGATATTTTGTCACCACAGAAAATCATCGTTCCTGCTATAATATTAATATTAAGTATTGTAAGACCAGTTACGCTGTAGTAAGACCTACTAACCTTAAGACCTGGACTAGGTTAAGGAATCTTGGTACAATTAGTTGGTTAGTTTTAATTATCCCTAATTAGCCCACACTTACTCAGCATCATTAATCGTCAATCATCTGTAGTTTCGTCTATAGTTTCGTCATTCGTTTATAGTTTCATCATTCGTCTGGGTTTTGTCTAACGAATACGTTTTGTCAGTACAAAAACAGTTTCATCAGGCATCATTAGTGTACAACCAAGAATGAAATAACAGCATTTGACTGGAGTATGAAGTTTGCTGATATAAGTAATGCTGATGATACAAGTTCCAACAGTTATGGATATGGGAATGCTGGTATTATGAATGGGCATGAAAGTCATGATCAATGTGACGAATATAAGGTATTCATGAATTATCAAAAATAAGCCGAAATGGATAATAATGTAGATGAAATGATTAATATTGAACAACAATAGCAAAATGATGAAACAGTTGTTTTGATTAGAATTAGTAACAAGGATGGATGTAATGATGATGGGTTTGTTGGATATGTTGAGGGAATGAGGAAACTTGGATAATGCTGTTGAAATGTTGTGATGTTGGGATATGGTAAGTTCGTATAGAATAATTATTAGTATAATAACGATAATGTTTTGAACATTTTATGTAATGTAAATTGCGCAAGCGGTATTAAGACTTCAAGAACGAAGTTATTGGGGTTCTAGCTCATGTCGTGTATTAACCCTAGGTGCCGCACAAAAAATGCGCGGAAGATCCCCGATTTCGATTGGCCAATGGCCGAGGATCTCCAAAATTTTGGCTCGCATTACATAATTGTTTACTAATTTCCGACCGGAATTAACTTTTTAAGTTTTTCATTACAAAAATAGAAATTTTTAAAAAATAAGCCCGCATTATAGTAAAATTGGCCCAGGAACAATTTTCACTTAATAGGCAGCTGCGATTTCGTTAGTAAAATTATGAGTAATTCTGGCCTAATTTTTTGATCGTCGCTCTTAGCCAATCAAAATCGAGGATCTGCCGCACATTTTTGTGCGGCACCTAGGTGATACGAGCACGTGTTGATCGAACATCGTGATTAGTGATTTAAGCCGGCTATGGCAGCCACGGCTAAGCTGGCTTAGCCGGCTGAGCCAGCCAATGCAATATGATCGACTGGCTAATACGGGACACGGGACATTAGTAGCTCACCCACAAAAAATTTTCCGGCCATGTGACTTTTTTATGGCACTAGCCAATTATATTTCGAGATCAGG